TTTACTGAAACCCTTCACAGGCTTTGTTTACTGTCTGCTTGCTGCCCTGGACGTTTGATCTTGCAAGACTAGATCAGACAGGGTCAGATAAAATACTGATTACTAGGATAAACCAGGCTTGAGGAAGTAACACTGGTTTTTAAAATCCTCATTTCTCCCAGCTTTTTAATATTTTGCAAAATAAGCTCAAATAAACAAACAAAATTAAGACAACTAGCAATCAGGGGCTTCTTGAGCAATGACTGAGAACAGGAAAGTGATGGGGATAATTTTGCTTTCTGGCCACAGTATAGGGTTTGGTTAGGTCCATTCATTCTAGTGGTATTATTTTATGACACAAATAATTTTGAGATATCCACTAGAATTGTGTGAACTTTCAATGACCCCTTAATTCTTGTGACATATTAAATACTTGAAACTGACCTGACCAAAGACGGCAGTTCATTTTGCTTTTGGTGCCAGATGAAAAACACTTTAAATATAAAATTATTTTCTTTTAAATTATTAATTTTTAATTAGGAAACATTTAAAACATATGAGTGCTTCTTTGTTAAGGTACTTTCTTATTCTTATAAGATCCCTTGCAGAATTAGATTGCCATAATAGTATAATTAATAATAGTACTGCACATAATTGCCACTTAGTTTCATAAAACTGATGGGGCAAGTGTATGTCTAAATAGACTTAATCCAAAAGAAGAGTGAGGTTAAAAATATTGTTTTAATAAAATGCGTAGAACCTATGAAAGAAAAATTGATAGGTAAATCCCACATAACCCTCAAAATTCTTGAAAATAATTAATAGCATGAATGTTTCTAGGTCCCGGTGGATCATCCTTGGGTCCAACACTAAGACTCCTACACATTAAACAACCGTTAATATTGGTCTTTTTGTTTTGTTTTGTTTTTCCACAAAATGTATGTATTTTTCTGAATCCTGGGAGCTTATGAGCGCTACATTGTAAAATCTAGGCCAGAAGCAATTACAGTATGAGATGAACAGCAATTAAAAAAATGCCATCTGAACCAACCAACTACCACATTCAACCACTTCATTTTCTTCAGTATCAAAAACTCCTGGGAAGCAGGTTCATGGTTCTGAACTTTAAAACCAGAGTACACAAACTGTCTCCCCATCTATCCTGAATTAACACTAATGTTAACTCAAATATGTCTGTGTCAACTATGATTGCCTTTGAAATTAAAGGAAAAAAGGTAAACAGAATGTGCTTTGCTGTGATCACTGGGGAAAATAACGTTAACATGCTAAGCCAAACCAACTTAGGACCTTTTAAAGAATAAGTGTAAATAGTTTAGCTATAATAACAACAAATTCAAAAAATGCACATTAAAATGTTTACTTCAAAATTTAGACAATTCCATTTGTATATAGTCTTTACATCTGTTTTTAATGATATCAAATTATTGATTATTCATTTTTCTCATATTTATTTAAGCATTAACTATAGAATTTGCAATCTGATCTTTTTTTCCTAAAACCTTTCAGTAGACTTTTATTTTTGCCAGGTTTTAGTCATGTTTACTTTGATCTTTCAGAGTATATAATTATTTTACTGTTTATTTCTATGAGAAGAGAAAAAAAATTTGACCTAGGAGATCTATATGTGGCAATTTGTAACAGAATCACATAGCTTATGTTTGGGAAATCATGGTTTTGATTAAGAAGCAACCATTTAGTTCCCACTGTTTTATTAAAACAGACATTAGCAGATAATAGGAAACATATTTAACAATGTAGCCTGCATTTAGTTTGAGACATCAGTAAGCTAGCTTGAGATTTTCTTCTATACTGAACATCAGCAATGATTCATGTAAACTGGTAACTATGGAATGGAAACAAGGTGGGGGAGGGGAGACAAGGAAAGACAGAGAACTCTGACTTCTGCGCTCTCAGGAAGAGCCTTAAGGTAGAATTCCGGTTTTGCTACTTTATTTCCAGATTTGAAATTCACTACTTTTTTTGAAAATGGATAGACACAAATAGAAATTTTACAAACAAAATCATTGCTTTCTCATGAGAAATGGATTCTACTAGATAGGAACTCCCACAGTGACATCTATTCACAGCATAAAGCTTGTAAGGACTGAAATGTTCCTGAATAGGTCCAACACTTCCTTTTCTCTGAAGGTGGAAAGTTAATAAAATGCACTTCTCTGAGGTGTTTATTTTCTCTACACCATTATACCTGTCATGAATTCTTTGTTTTTCCTCCCACTCCCTTGGTTGATGAATCAACACCACTTGAACTGTTTTATGGCAGCTTGTGTTTACTTCACACATACCTTAACCTTCCCTTTTCTCCTCCTAGTGACACACACACATGCACACACACACTTTTTAACAGCAATGACTAGCTCCATCTCTTTGAATAGCATGTGTACACAGCATCTGGCCGCCTCTTCAGGTGTGGATCCTTGACCTCCTGATTGAAATCAAGGTCTCAGTCTGCTTTTATGGCACTTAAAGATTTAACTGTGCATTTACTATCTTGAAGAAAAAAATAGAGCTTGAAGAATTGACTTGCTAAGAAAGAAAGGAGAAAAGTAGAAGACATAAGTGTTAATGTGTGTGTGAACAGATATATACACACACAGACCACACACACACACACACACACACAGATTCTGTAGTGGCGATTCTGAAAACACTAGAGTGAAGAGTTTCCAGTCTTTTTGAATCTGGAATTATACTCCAGACTATTAAAAGAGAACGCTCTCTTCCTTTCTCTTATAATAGCAAGTAAATTGGATCTAACAAATGACCTTGAAGCTGCGTGATTCTTTTGATTTTTAGGCAAAGAGGATATTGTTCAAGCACTTTAACAATCTGATTTTAAAGGGAAAACTTGGAGACAACACTTACAGAAAAGGAACCCTTCCGAACCACACAATCATGTCTTATAATGAGAAGGAGTTATTCATCTTATCCTGTACAGGAGTTAATATTAATAACATTGTAAAGCAAGTACCCAAGCCAGAAACTAGAGGGTCCTAAGAATTTTAGAATATATTGAAAAGGAATGGATCTTAATTCAATTTTTAGTGAACTTAATTTCTCCTGGGTAGTTCAACAACTTGACTTTCCTTATAAATTGTATATTTAGCATAAAATGCTCTCATTCCTTTGTAATCAGAAATGTGCCACCAATACAAATAAAGCTCATTTTCTCAAAAGGTAACTTTGTAAACAAACTCCCAAATACTCAACAGCCAAGAGGCATTAGTTCCATACTGTCTCCCTAGAGGAAAACTACAGGTAGTAAAAACAAATAAATTAATCCTTTACTTTTACCTGGCTACCATAAATTGTCATTTAACCCTCTCAACAGGGGCAGTGAACCATCAGCAAGTCTCTGAATACCTATAATAAAGCATGATGAATGATGTCATAATCATGCAAAATAAGAACTAGAAGAACCCTCAAACATCAACCTGTTCTGTTACCAAGCTATCCCCCAATCCCCTCAGGGGTTGGTAGCATTTGAATTGAATAGCATTTGAAGTGGGGTGAGAACAACAGAATTTTTCCAGCATTGACAAATTTGCAAAGGCAAAATATCACATATATTTAAAGGGCTGGATGGCCTAAATAGCATGCCATTTATTATATGAGAATGGTGTATTTAGGACCAGATATAATTCTATATATAATATATTGCTGCTAGTAGAATTACTACCATTAATTATTGTTACAATATTATAGCTATAGTTTATTAAGAGATTACTTTGTACCAGTATTAACATATTTAGTCCTCACAGCTAGCCAGTGACTTACTTTTATTACTTCCAATTTTCAGATAAGGAGATTGAGTCTTGGTGAAGTTAAATAATTTGTTCAGGCTCACACAGCTAGTAAACAGGAGACAAAGATTTGAATACAAGTCCTCCTGACTGCAGAGTCCCTTTGCTTTAACCACTGTTCTGGAATTGTCTCCAAATAAACACAACATCAAAACTCCATTTCTGACCAAAGATTTCCTGATACCACACAGTCATTTCAATTTGATAATTGGTACTTAAACTATAAGTGCTGATTTAACCTAGAATGACTGCTTTTTTTCATTAATAAATTAATGAAAATGATTTATTGATTGAGCTTTTTAAATAGACATGCCTCTCTGAAGTATACAACTTCAAAATATTTTTAAAGATCTCAGCCTTCACAAGCATCTCTTGTGAAAACTACACACTTCATATATTATGCTAAGAATTTTACTTTAGTTCTAACACCATCTTAGTTTTAAGGGAGTCAATCTGGATCTCTTGATGAAAATATTAAGAATCTTATCTTGCACCCCAATGTTCATAGCAGCACTATTTACAACAGTCAAGACATGGAAGCAGCTTAAGTGTCTATCAACGGATGAATAGATATTACTCAGCCACAGAAAAACAATGAAATATTGCCATTTGCAGCAACATGGATGGACCTAGAGATCATCATACTGACTGAAGTCAGACAGAGAAAGACAAATATTATATGATATCACTTATATGTGGAATCTCGAAAAAATAATGCAAATGAACTTATTTACGAAACAGAATCACAGACATAGAAAACAAACCTGTGGTTGCCAAAGGAGAAGGGGGCAGATAAATTAGGAGTATGGAATTAACAGATAAACACCACTATATATAAAATAGACAAATAACAAGGCTTTCCTGTATAGCACAGGAAACTATATTCAATATCTTATAATAACCTAAAATGGAAAAGAATCTGAATAAAATACACACATATATATATATACACACATATATATATATACATGTATAACTGAATCACTTTGCTATATACCTGAAACTAACACAATATTGTAAACCAACTATACTTCAATTAAAAAAAAGAATCCTATATTTATAAAAAAGTATATAAAATTTTATTAAAAATTGTATCTAAATTAGCATAAATTCCCAAGAATCAACAACTCCTTGACCTAAGAAACTGAAAATAGGTTTCAAAAATAAAAGTCAGTTTACCTTTAATCTTCTTGTACTTCTTATACCATCTCCCAAACTCCTGGCACTTGGTTGCTGACACGTTGGCATAATATGTGCTATTTACAATGGATGAAATCATACTCTGTAAAGAAAAAAAAAAAGTTATTTTTCCATAAATATGAGTATTCCTTTTCAGGGACAAGAAAGGGCACATTTTAGTCCATACCAATCTCCTTTGTCTTTTAAATTTGAAGCAGTCACCCTCCTGCAAACTAAACTATTAAATATGATTAACGAAACTTACTATCCCTTTAACTTGTACAATGACAGTGCATTCTCCATAAAACCAACCCTGGAGCAATGTCAAAGATGGAGGGGGCAGGACACACATATTGAAAGCAAAGGGAAAGAACACTTGTGATTTAGGAACCCGAGCAAAAGGTGAGATCAGATGCTCCTGCATCTGTAATCCAAATAATGCCTCTCAGATGTTTCTGTTCCGCTTCCAACTGCAACAAGCTTACTTAGCCAAGAATCTGAGAACATCCGTGCTACACACTGCAGAACAACGTTTAGGGAAATAAGTTAAATTAATATAATTTATAGAAACGTGTGATTAGCACTTGTGTGAAAATTCACCAAATGAAAAAATTAAGTGCTATTTTAGAGCAGGGGAAACTAAACATAACGCTTGTTCTGTGTTTCAAGCAAAAATGCATCAAAGCTAAAACTTTGAGTGTTTAAGTACCTGATTCCTTCTTGCTCTTCATATTCCTCTCTCTCCTCAGCTCAACCCTTTAGCTGATTTGTTTGAAATTGCAGTTAACAGGAAAGAGAAAGGGAGCATAACCTAACTTACCACTGAAAAATTAAAAATTATAACTGCACACCTTGAATTCAATTTCATACAGAGATATGTTTTCAGTCAATATGGCATGTTTGGACCAACATTCGTGGCAGATGTTAACTTATACCTGAATGACTGTGATAGTACATGTGTATGTTTTATACATAGATTTTATTTCTGCAAATTCTGTTTAAAAACAAATGGACATAAACGAGTCAAGAGATCCAAATGACCTACGTAAGGCTTTATATCCTGCCTTGAAATCTCATCTTTCTTAAAAAAGTTTTCCCCAGATACGGAACAGTTGAGGGAAATCTTGGAACTTCTAATGTCATTTCGACAAAGTAGTCAAAATAAAAAGGAAAACAATAAATCAAGGCATTGACAAGTTATTTAGGTTCAAATGCCAGTAGGCAGTCCTGCATAGACTCCCATTTAAGACAGTTTCCTCTATAAGCCCACAGACTCCCTCTTTTTTAATCACTATGCAGTACTGATGGGGGAGGGAGGTCCTAATTCAATTCACAGAAACCTCTGGTTCCTTCTATATAGCAGATGGCTATCCTCCCTGCAGTTGCTGATCTCTAAATGACAATTCTGTTCTCTAAGGGGAGATAGTAAAGAGAACTCTTTTAATCTGAGGATCTGAACACAGCCCTAGAACACAAAGAGCCAGTATCACCTGAGTGTATCACAGAACTTGGAGCCTTGCCTGCTGCCTTAAAGGATCAATGGAATCCTAATCTTCCTGAGGCAGGGTTCTGCTTTTGTATGTTATTAACAAAGGAGTAAAGAAGTCTCTTGGCTAGCTGGGCTAGTTCCTTCCCTCTCTGGGCTGAGCTTTTCTCTCTGTCCCAGTTTGTGAGATCCTTGAGGACAGTGTCTGTTTCTTTTTTTTTCTCTCCCTTGTGTCTAACACAGTTCTGATGTGGGATATCTGAGTCACTGAAATATAACAGATGAAAAGGGACAAAGATGAAATTTAAAAATGCCAAACTGAAATGTCAAAATAATGAAAAATTTAACATGAAAGCAGCCTAATAACAGATGCACCAGCTACTCTGGTTTATGTGAATAACTGCAAATGTACTTGTCATCTTTCTACGTTGTTTGTATGAATGTTACCCTCTGGAAAGGCATAAGATACATAGCCATGGCAGAAGCCAGAGCTAAACCTTCTATCACAAAGTGATCTAGAAAGCAGATTAAAATGGAAAGTGTTTTAAGTACTGCCTGGAGCTGCCCCTCAACTCTTCCTGGTCCATAAGACCAGGACACAAATCCATATTACTCTGGTCTCAGATAATCCACATTTCCCCCACTCCCTGGACTTCCTACTTTGTCTTTGCTCCAGATGCATCTTCATTAACACTCTTGTGTTAGTGGCGAGTGTCAATCTATGTGGCAAGAAAATGAGTATCTGGGCTTCTGCTGGTTTCATCACCAGATGGTCTTACACTAGAGTCGGTTCACACTCATTTAAAAAGGAGTTGGTAACCACTCTTATTCAACATAGTTTTGGAAGTTTTAGCCACAGCAATCAGAGAAGAAAAAGGAATCCAAATGGGAAAAGAAGAAGTAAAGCTGTCACTGTTTGCAGATGACATGATACTATACATAGAGAATCCAAAAGATGCTATCAGAAAACCACTAGAGCTAATCAATGAATTTGGTAAAGTAGCAGGATACAAAATTAATGCACAGAAATCTCTGGCATTCTTATACACTAGTGATGAAAAATCTGAAAGTGAAATTAAGAAAACACTCCCATTTACCATTGCAACAAAAAGAATAAAACCTCTAGGAATAAACCTACCTAAGGAGACAAAAGACCTGTATGCAGAAAATTATAAGACACTGATGAAAGAAATTAAAGATGATACAAATAGATGGAGAGATATACCATGTTCTTGGATTGGAAGAATCAACATTGTGAAAATGACTCTACTACCCAAAGCAATCTACAGATTCAATGCAATCCCTATCAAACTACCACTGGTATTTTTCACAGAACTAGAACAAGAAATTTCACAATTTGTATGGAAACACAAAAGACCCCGAATAGCCAAAGCAATCTTGAGAACGAAAAATGGAGCTGGGGGAATGAGGCTCCCTCACTTCAGACTATACTACAAAGCTACAGTAATCAAGACAGTATGGTACTGGCACAAAAACAGAAATATAGATCAATGGAACAGGACAGAAAGCCCAGAGATAAACCCATGCACATATGGTCACCTTATCTTTGATAAAGGAGGCAAGAATATACAGTGGAGAAAAGACAACCTCTTCAATAAGTGGTGCTGGGAAAACTGGACAGCTACATGTAAAAGTATGAAAATAAAACACTCCCTAACACTATACACAAAAATAAACTCAAAATGGGTTAAGGACCTAAATGTAAGGCCAGCCACTATCAAACTCTTAGAGGAAAACATAGGCAGAACACTCTATGACATAAATCACAGCAAGATCCTTTTTGACCCACCTCCTAGAGAAATGGAAATAAAAACAAAAATAAACAAATGGGACCTAATGAAACTTCAAAGCTTTTGCACAGCGAAGGAAACCATAAACAAGACCAAAAGACAACCCTTAGAATGGGAGAAAATTTTGCAAATGAAGCAACTGACAAAGGATTAATCTCCAAAATTTACAAGCAGCTCATGCAGCTCAATAACACAAAAACAAACAACCCAATCCAAAAATGGGCAGAAGACCTAAATAGACATTTCTCCAAAGAAGATATACAGATTGCCAACAAACACATGAAAGAATTCTCAACATCATTAATCATTAGAGAAATGCAAATGAAAAGTACAATGAGATATCATCTCACACCGGTCAGAATGGCCATCATCAAAAAATCTAGAAACAATAAATGTTGGAGAGGGTGTGGAGAAAAGGGAACCCTCTTGCACTGTTGGTGGGAATGTAAATTGATACAGCCACTATGGAGAACAGCATGGAGGTTCCTTAAAAAACTACAAATAGAGCTACCATACGACCCAGCCATCCCACTACTGGGCATATACCCTGAGAAAACCATAATTCAAAAAGAGTCATGTACCAAAATGTTCGTTGCAGCTCTATTTACAATAGCCAGGAGATGTAAGCAACCTAAGTGTCCATCAACAGAAGAATGGATAAAGAAGATGTGGCACATATATACAATGGAATATTACTCAGTCATAAAAAGAAACGAAATTGAGTTATTTGTAGTGAGGTGGATGGACCTAGAGTCTGTCATACAGAGTGAAGTAAGTCAGAAAGAGAAAAACAAATACTGTATGCTAACACATATATATGGAATCTAAGAAAAAAAAAAAAGGTCATGAAGAACCTAGGGGTAAGACGGGAATAAGGACACAGACCTACTAGAGCATGGACTTGAGGATATGGGGAGGGGGAAAGGTAAGCTGTGACAAAGTGAGAGAGTGGCATGGACATATATACACTACCAAACGTAAAATAGATAGCTAGTGGGAAGTAGCCGCATAGCACAGGGAGATCAGCTAGGTGGTTTGTGACCACCTAGAGGGGTTGGATAGGGAGGGTGGGAGGGAGGGAGACGCAAGAGGGAAGAGATATGGGGACATATGTATATGTATAACTGATTCACTTTGTTATAAAGCAGAAACTAACACACCATTGTAAAGCAATTATACTCCAATGAAGATGTTTAAAAAAATAAAAATAAAAAAATAATAATAAATAAAAAGGAGTTGGGAGATGTGGTATATATACACAGAGGAATACTACTCAGACATAAAAAAAGAATGAAATCCTGACATTTGCAACAACATGGATGGACCCTGAAGGCATTATGCTAAGTGAAATAGATCAGAGAAACACAAATGCTGTATGATTTCACTCATGTGGTATCTTAAAAAAAAATAAAATAAAAACAAACTAATAGATACAGAGACCAGATTAGTGGTTACCAGAGGGGAGGAGGGTTTTGGGGTAGCTGAAATTGGTGAAGGGGCTCAACTGTATGGTGTTGGATTGTAACTATACTTGTGGTGGTGATCACTTTGTAGTATACACAGATGTCAAACAGTAAATGCTGTACATCTGAAACTTATAAAATAATGATAATAATAATAATTAAAAGGTAATAGGAAAAAAAAGGAGTTGGCTACCCAAAGACTCAGTCAGGTTTGCTCTCTTCCCCATATTTTATAAGTGAGTTTCTAACTCTGCTGACCACAGAACAAAAAATAAATAGGTTTAAGCTATGAACTGAGCAAAGGATCTGGGTAGCAAATAAAGACAGTTTCCTATAACATGAG